TTTTGTTCGGCGAATACGGCGGAAACCCCATGGGTACTAATATGTGAACCTCCAACAGAATTAGAAGTACGAAGCTGTATTCAATCGTTAAAGGAAAGGCAGCGAGACCTGAGGAGATTCCCACTCCTTTCAAGCTGAGAGATGGCTCTCTCATCGACTCGACTGCTAGTTTACTTGGCAACCTCTGGTCGAAGGAGTGAGTCGTTGATCATCCCGACCCTCAAGAAAGGATCGCGCAACGACTGTGCAAATCGACGTGAGGTTTAGTCTAGCTCTTACCATCACAGAATTGTTAACTTTCGTGATAACTCGCCGTCTGACAGCATTAAGGAAGATGAATATTTTACCGTGAAGCCCTCAGAGGATCTCTGCTTCGCGAAGGACTATCCAGGAAGTATGTAAGCCAACCGCGATTACTGTGCCTGCATACTTCGAGTAGCATCCGGGTAAACGGTGGACTAAGCAACTAGTTCGAAACCAAGAGCGGTGTTCGTCAAGGGTACCCTATTTCACCATTCTTATTCAGTTTCGTCGCAGGTGAAATACTGAGAACGCACTAAATGGTCGTTAGAATGTTGGTACTGTACTGAAAGCTGGAGAAAAGCTGTGAAATTTAGAATAAGCTGACGACATCGTTTGTCCGTTCTAATGTATGGAGGATGCGTAAAGCACTTTCAAGTTCCGTAACTCAATTTGGTGTGCTTTGCACCTTCAAGATGCAAAGTGATGATACAAGATTGAATGTCGTCTGCTCCAGTTCTGATGCTTCGTGGTCAAGCATTAGTTATAAAGGATTGTTTTTCCTACTTGGGTAGATGCGTAGCATAGTAAAAGAAGTGACAGCCCCCATTTCCAAGACAATAATCCTTGGTGCAGACGTGATATTTCTCTGAAACTGAAACGTCGCGTATACTGCATCAGTGTTTGGTCAGTTCTGCTTTATGGTTACGAGACCCTAACTTGTGCATGGAAGAAATAAATCGTCTAGAAGTATTCGATTATCGATATTTACGTCGTTTGGCGCGGGCGTGTAAACAACTCTGAGTTAACTCGTGGCGCATCTGGTAATGATTGGGTGGAAAAGTCGTTATCAAATAGAATTCAGATCAGTAGGTTTCACTGTTTAGGACACATATTGTGCATGTCCATCTTTCATCTACCGTGCCGCGCCTTATTCGCAGTTGCGGCTCCAGGTTGGAGGAAACCACGTAGAGATCAAAAGACGACGTGGAAACAAGACATGAAGAAATAAACAGAACGATTGAGTAGAGTAGGTGTCACTAGTCTTCCAGGTTATGGTCCGTATGACTAACTGGTTGGTTGGAAACGCCGAAGAATATGGCTGCAAACCGAGAGCGTTCTTATAGTCATTTCTTATCAGGTCAGAATATGGACAGTTAGGATGTGCACTATGTGGGTTGACTATGGAGGTTCACTCTCTTTTAAGCCTTCTAATTAGGCCCGGAGACTTGTACTTTCTCACTTACTTTGCGTATATTGAGAGTTTGGCAGCGACTAGCGAAGTTCACTGTATGACAATGATGAGTAAATTGCTTTGTTACAACTTTGGGTGCATTTAGCCACTATTTGGGTAACCCAGCAGTAGAAACAACGTTAGCCGGAGAACTGAGGACCAGTTTAACTGGTCACCGTCACCGATAACCGAATTAACTGAGGAACAGCGTGCCTAGTAGATATTGCCACTTCATCCAACAAACGAAGAAGTTGAAACATCAATTTCACTACTAAAAGGAAAAGCGTGGAATTTAATTAACGAATCCAAGAAGTTTGTGAATTTAGATTTTTTCTGACCGAAGGAAGTTTACCATAGATTCAAAAGGAGGTGCGCATCGACAGGAGAATTAGCTTAAATTAAATGGCGTCACTAAGTAGATGCCAAAAGAAACAAATAGCTACGGAGCAAAACCGGTTCCATCCAAGTGGTGGTCGTATAAACTGAGCTTTCACTCTCAGTTACATGCTTCAATATCATCAAATTTACTAGATAGCACCAATTATGGTATTCTCATATGTTACAACATCCTTGGATTAACGTGTATTGTATTGTATTGTATTGTAATAACTTCTGCAGGCGTGAAGCCTACATTTCAGTTAAAAATATACCGGTTGAATCGAGAGAGAAAAATAATAATAACGAAAAAATGAAATTTNTGTTAACAAAGTCTGTGAAAACCTGTTCTTTGTTAACTAGAATACGTGCTAATGAGGGTACTGTAGAGTTACGATATATGTTTATTCGGGAGGAAACAACGATATTGGGATTTGGTTGAAGGATGGGAACAACAGGAAGTTAGATCTACATGTAGCGGATGTGTGGAGTCGATGAGAATCTGATGTGCAAACTTTTCACATGAATTCAAATGACGTTAGCATAGGTCAGTTACCAACTCCCTCAGCGGGATTGTAGAGACACNAAACGGGGAAAACACACTAGTACACAAATTTAGAAATACTTGATTATTGAATACGAAACTGACGAAGTTTAAGGATATGAAAAGAAAGCCGTCGAAGCTTACTGACGATATGATGAATGTGAGAGGTCCAGTATCAATATCAGTATCAATAAAAACACCCAAGTATTTATAACAGTCCACCCGGGATACTGGTTCAGAGCCAATCGATACCGGTTCAGTTGCGAAAGAAGAGCTTGATAATGTAAAGATGTATTCGAAACATTTAGAGGGATTAAGAGATAGGCCAGATGTGGCGGAAAACCGTTGAACGTTATCCAAGTTGTCTGAACTTGGTGGAGTTGCTGCGCACAGACGTTATTGGAGCAGGGTTTGTCTGGTGAAGTCTATTACGTCACTTTGGCCACCTTCGACAGAAAGACTGGAAATACAGAGCAAAATTTTGCCTCCCCTTTTCATCTCTGATGCGGAACAGAAAAGGTCACCGATTGAACCATCACTTGAAAATGTCCTCAAACGTGCCCTTGAATACATCGATGATATCGCTTTTATTTCGCATAACATACTACCAATAAAACTGAATCATTTACTGATGAAAATAAAATTGTATGGTATACACTTCATGCTTTTGAAGTGATCCTCCTTTGTATTGACCAGTTAGATAGACCATTGTTTATTCGTTTTCCAGTATTACATCGATGAGTCATTGTGGCTTTAATCTATCTTAACTACCACTACAATGACAAATGGAATGCGTTCGCTTTCTCCCTTGAATGGCTGGTTCCAATTCTGTGATCCAAAAAAGCTTGCAACCATAGAGGTTTGTGTTCACAAATGTGCACTAACTCCCAGTGGCGTATGCGGCCGGATCGTTGTAAGACCATGTCAAAAACATTGGCGTTCAAACCACTTTTCCAAAACTTTAGAACATTCTTCTCTGCCTTTTTCTCCACCAATTATATTTTCATCTTCAAGAACAAAACCAACAAGTTGTGCTTTAGATAAATGTTTTACCATTGAACAACCATAACGATTATGCAGTTATCCCCTTTCAAAGTTTTCAGGTTAACAAAAACATATGGGGCCACCCCATCCCCTGACTGTTCACGAATCTTTCATAAACGGAACAGATCACCACTATTACAGTTCGTGCTTAAGATACAATGGTGCACTAACACATCCACGTAGTAGGACGAGATACGCATCAACCAAATGAATACGATACCATAGAAGTATTAGAAAACGTGTATGTTATCTATAAGGAAGAACACAATATTTGATTCAAAAAATGAACACAAATGCAAAAATAATCATTGCGAACGGAAGCGCGGCGCGGAGCACGGAAAGCATCTGATACTGGATAGTAATTTATCGCAGTTCGCGCAGCAGCTGATCCCGAGCGGGGGACTTGCTATAGAGCGCCGAGATCAGCCCACGCAGTTCCGACGCCTCTAGACGGGAAATGGTTGACAATGGACCTCGTCCACCGTCCCAGAGCACCTGTTCAATGACAGCCATGGTAGATGCATTCATGACCGAAAGGATGCCTTGAAGGCGAACTAACTCCGGTACACGACGAGAGAGCGAACTGGTGTAGGCCTGTCAAAAGGGTTCGATGGATGCGGCGGAAAAGGGAAGAAACCATCTGTTTGTTATTCGTTATTTATGTTGTTACTTAGGAAAATATAGTGAACGTGGAGTTTTCAGTTAGTTTCTTGGCAAAAAACGAAACCAACGAGTGTTTTAATTAGTTAGAGACATTGTGCCCAAGACGATAAGTCAAGTTAGGTGAAAATGGAGCTGAATTTGAACAGAACATACAAATCTCTTGTGGATAAGACGAGAGATTTTCCTGATCAAAACGGTCGATAGCAAACCGAACAGTAATGAAGGCGAACGGTAAGCCATGATTGAGTGTTCGGGAGGGGGAGGGGGCTGAGCGCAGAGGTCAAAGGTCACAGCACGCTTGACGAAACTGTTCAGCCTAACGCTAAACGATAATCACAGTATGAAGATCGCAGCGAGTTAATGCAAAGCATGGGGTGGGTTCGAAACTAGCACGAGCAGCAGCATCCGTTGATGTCGACCAGATGTTCGAAATATTTCGCATTGTCCATTCGAGCTGGATATAGAATGCCGTAAACGGTCAAAGAGCCGGGGAAATGGGAGTATGGGTGATTGTGGTGAAGCCTATTAGGACGCTAGCACGGACGGCTACGGGTGTCTAAGATCCAAAATTCGAACACTGTAACTAAAATGCGAATTTGACAGCAAGCAGATTCGGTGTCACAACTTATTACCCCAACTATCCAATGGGATATAGAGTGGTTTTCCATTCTTAGATTGCCAATTATAAAAGCGCGGTAGGTACCCAGGATAGTCATTGTATAAACTTTAGACTTGGTGATGTATCCGTTTATACTCTGCTGAGTATGTAGGAATCAGTAGGAAGGCATTGATTTCAAGCAGAACAAACGACAATAGAGGAAGTATAAGCTGGTTAGGTTTAACTACTCCTCAAGCCACGAGAGCACCTTAGTATACATCCCACCAATGGAGAAAGTTTGGTGTGCCGAAACTTAACAACAAAGACAGGATTTGATCAATGTTATACCAGCGAAAAATGCCACAAATTCTGCAGTATGGGGTAAATCGAAACCTTGAACTTCTGTACCACTTCAATTCCGCATAATCGATTGATAGCTTGAGGTCACGCGTTGAACAACGTTAACACGCGCAGACCGGCAGGGACGATAAGAAAACAAACGCATACAGGCGGGCAGACACGCAAGGAAAAATGAGGATACGTTGGTTTGACACGTCGTCCGAACCAACCAGAAACCTTGAAATGGTGAACGGAAAACAGATGACCCGCGGGCACAGATGAACACATCAGGCCATACGGCCAGTAGTGAGTCAGTGGTGGGTGTGTACCACACAAGAAGCGCGAAGAAGCCGGAGGAAGGGAAGGAAAGTGAACTACAGTGTCCTCAGGCAAGTAAATCATATGTGCATTTACTGTATGGTATACGCTACCATAAAACAAATCCCATAACTTTCATCAGCCCACTTTCTGGTAGCGTCAACAATGTCAATAACAAATGTTACACTACGAGTGCGAACGAATTACTGGTGTTATGCGTGTAATCAGGCAAAATTGAAGTTAAATGCAATTACACAGTTCATTCGTTTTCCACATGCAAAGGTGGAGAACTTCAAAGTTGAAAACATTAACCGTCGCTTTAGAGGACTTTAAAAAACAGTGAATGTCAATTTAGTGATTAAAGGTACAGATAGGTCATCGTATTTAAATGGCGAATAAGAGAAGTTATTGCAGATCAAGGTCAAGTCAAGTTAAGCTTTATGCAACCAACAGAACGAATTGTCAGCACTTTAGACAAGTTACAAGTAAGTTGGCACAGAGTTTTAATTGGACTAGGGGTAGGTAAGTTCTGAGGCGAAAAATGATTCCCAAGAAAATTTGAAGAATTGTACAGATGGTTGATAAGATTTTAGCAGTTTTGTGCACAGTGAGATGCCGATATCCAGCAACGAACTGACTGATTATTCAGATTGTTACTATGATGTATGATGCGCATGGAAAAGCTTTGCGCATTCACGAGAACGGCATGGTTTCCCCTTTCGTTAAACAGTCATGTCACAAAAATAACTAGTGTACGAAACCAAAGAAAGATAAGGTGTCGATCAGGGCTCTCATGAAACACAATTGCAGACTCTGCTGAAAACCAACAGATGCCTCGAAACTTAGGGATTAATTAGACAGCTTAGCAGACGTACCCGAAATGATCGGAAACAGCACATCAGCAATGATCAATTGAATGAAAACTTTGCCGCAATCGCCACGTCGCAATGCGATCTAGAGATTTGTGGTGTTTGAACCGAAAAGGGCTAGCCAGCCAAAAATATCCACCGTATCCTCCAGCCCTACCACAGACCGTCGGACAATGCGTATTTAATAATCCACGGCGCGTTGATCACCAGTGCCGGTCGATCCTCTATCCACGACCAACGAACGAGCAGTTAACATACAGCTCTTAGAAATGGCTTAACCAAACGTGCATTAGTATTCACCAAAAACGCTCGCTACAAGCACCTGCATGCGAGAACTAAGACATGACGATTCTCAGGGGTGCTATACCTAGCTAGATTTCGATGTGACAACGGGTTTATTCACCATGAATCGATAGTTTTTTTTTGTTGCCATGATATTCTGTATAGCTATGCGTTTTTATACGGTTTCAATATTGATTTCAGTTTTCAGGATTGAGGGCAGAGTGCCCGTGTAAACTCCATCACCATTGGGTCGAAGGTCCGATCACAAGTGTTCGTTCCTCCACAGTCCCTTCAGGTGCTCATCCAGACGCCGTTTGAAAGCAGCGTCTGTCTTCTCTTCCACCACAATC